AAGAGAATTTCATTTTCTCTTTCGTACGTTCTAATTTCTTTTTAATCTAGCCTCAATTTGTTGCAGATTCTACGTCGCTTGTGAAATGTGTTTCCGCTGGTTTCATGGTGATTGTGTGGGTGTTAGTGAGGAGAATGCGAAAGAGATGGATGGATGGACGTGTCGAGATTGCATCCAGGAAACAAAAAGAGCACGTCAGGAGCAGGAGCTCTACTGCACGTGTCGTACCCCTTACAATGATAACGAGTAAGTTTGCTTACAAGTGGTTTGTTTTTGTGAAGGCGAAATAGTGACGGGCCGATTCCACTGCACATCAGGGGCCGTATGCAGCAAGCCGGCCAGGAATGTGGGTATATCCCCAGTTCTACGGGGCTTGAGGGAATGTCTCCGACGATCGTATGCTACAAGTCTCGAAGGTCGTCGGGATATCCCCTCATCCTCGGCCAGGGAATGCTATATACGGCCCCAGAGACCGTCGATGGAGTTTAGGCCCGTCGCAGTGAATTGGTGAACTTGTCTAAATTTGTCTAAATTCATCAATTCATAGTCAAAAGCGAAAATGTTATTAGTGATATATCCAATCCTACTTCACTAGCGCCACCAAGTAGTTTGGATACTATTTTCTTCTATGGAGTGGTTTTGCAGGTTCTACGTTGGCTGCGAAAGCTGTGAGGGTTGGTTCCATCCGAAGTGCGTAGGAATCACACAAGAGTAGGTTACTTTCACTGAGTATCAGAAAATTTTTAACGCACTGCCAAATGATTACAGTGTGTTCCAAAATAGTTCTTACAATTGCCTGCAGTGCCAGTCGGGCTACTCTTTCTTACCCGGGCTTATAGAATGGAATCCCCTTGAACTTTGTTCTCTGGGACGAAGTTTTTCACTTCAAGCACATTTCTACTGTGGGACGCTTCTGCATTTGGGGCAGTTTTCGGCACAACAACTAAAAAGAAGATGTCCTCCTTCCCCTTGGCTTGGATGGGGTGATGTTAGGGGGGAGGGGCTTATGGTTAGCACAACAGCTGCCATCCCCTTTCTTTTGTCGCTTCATTTTTTTTTTGAAGTATAAGATACGGCGGCAACGAGTAGGAAATTGCTGTCACACTAGCCCATCAGTAAGGCCTGTCAGAGACAAAGTTTCACTCTTTCAAGTTTTTCGCAGTGGTAAGCCCGTTAAATTCCAGAGAAGCTGAAGCTATGGACGAGTATGTATGTCCTTCGTGCACTGAAGCACAGACGACCCAAGGCTATGAATCAGCCACCAGCTCGGCGAGTAGTACTCATGCCACTCTTTGGTGAGCTTCATCTTACTAATTGTTACAGCTTCAAATTTGAATTTTCTCTTGTTACTTTTTTCTCATCATAATTTCTAGTCGAGCTGACTATCCTCTTGTGTGGCGTCTTCTCGAGTGCGTCGCTGATCACCGTATGTCGTGGCCGTTCCGTCAGCCAGTTGACCTTGAAGAGTTTCCCAATTACTTGGACGTGGTGGAGAACCCGATTGGTGAGTCCTTAATTTTTTACTTAATTTAATCAGCTTTATATAATAGCAGCTAGTGTTGAGTTGCTATCAGGTCAAGTCGAGAAGTCCTAGTAACACGTTGAGGACAACGCGTATTTCGGTTTTTTTGACCGCGTGGGACGGGTGCGATCTTGCGAGCGCAGCGGCTGAGCTGTTTTAGTGGAATTCCGGCCGAGAACACGTGTAGTGGCAACGAAAAGAGAACTTGACTCACTTTCGGTGTGTAGTGATCTTCGAAAGCATTTTCGCTGTAATTGTAACATTTAAAACATATAGGTGGCCCCGTAGAGTTTTCTTCTATTTTTGCTATTTTTTTGTACATGATAGTGCTACGATTCTATGAGATGTCGTCTAAAGTTAAGTAATGTATGACCTATTAAATACCTACAAAACATTCGAAAAGAAGTTCTGCACAGAAAAAAATGAATGGAGATGTGGAGCTCATGGGACGGCGCGGTGCACATGCGGGTCGCGCCATCATCAAGCGTTAAAAGAAAAAGTTTCCCACAAGGGACACTTAAGTGATCGGTTACCGCGTCATCCATTGTAGTGATGACTGTGTTGACTATATTTTGTAGTACTATGAAATTGCAGACCTTTCAATCATCCAACAACGACTGGAAAATCTCGAATACCAACGTTTGAAAGACTTCACGCGAGATATGTCCCGATTGTTTGAAAACGCCAGGATTTTCTATCCGCGGGTATCAATTTTTGCCTCGAGTATTGCATCAAATTTTGCAACTTTCGTGGCTTTTACAGGATAGCAACGTCTATCACTGTGCAGATACATTGGAGAAGATATTTGAGCATGCGTTGGCTGAGGTCAGAACAGAAATTGACGCACGTGTGAATGGAAGAAAGGTAGCCATCGTTTCTGTTATTTTCTGTGTTTGTGAGGCGTGAGCGCAACGTTTTAGTCCTAGATGATGTATGCAATTTTTTATTTATATTTTTGAATTGTTGCATTTTGATTGCTTTCAACCAGCTTAAGCGAAACTGACTGGTGGAAAGGATCGGAATCTGTTGTATGACAACTCT